TTGCAATTAAAAGTCTCTTCCATCTCTGGTAAAATTCGATTTTCAGTGAAGTTTCTCTTGGTCGTTAGATCTTGTACATGTCTTCGTTGGTTGTTTTGAAATTTTAGTGAAAGAAGACAATTTTTGAACATTTGGATAATGTATTTACAGTTCAATTTTTCTAACTTTGCTGTTAGAAAATGAACAGGATCCGAGTAGAGAGAAGAATAGAGCAGGCAGGAGCATTGAACGAGTGAAAGATGATGTTATATCTCTTTTCGTTTGATTTTTTCAGTCATTTTTAAGTCATCTTAGTCGGTTAAGAAAGCTTTTTCAAAGAACACATTTAATATCAGTTTTCGGAGAAAGCAGCACTTTAGTATTCGAAAAAACTAAAATCGGAGTAAATCATCCCTCAGGTTTCTCCGAAATTCGGAGTAAATCGTTCTTATCTTTTCTCAAATTACGAGTAAACCGTTCTTGATTTTGTTCAAAATCGGAGTAAATCACTCTCCGAGTTTCTCTAAAATTGGGAGTAAAGGGCCTATGACTTCCTCCAAAATGGGAGTAAATGGGTCTTGATTTTGTTCAAAATCGGGGTAAATCACTCTCCGTGTTTCTCCGAAATGAGTTTCTCCGAAATGAGTTTCTCCGAAATGAGTTTCTCCGAAATGAGTTTCTCCGAAATGAGTTTCTCCGAAATGAGTTTCTCCGAAATGAGAGTAAATCGTTCATATTTTTTTCACAAATTGGGAGTAAATTTGACCAAAAAGTATGGCGGGGTAACCCGCACATAATTGTTGTCATTTTGTTTTTTGCCATATAAGTTGTGTGTTGTAATATCAGAATCACTTTTAGAATTTAGTACATACACAGAATGGGAAATAGCACTGTAAGACAAGTAGAAACACGATCAAATGGTGTTGGTAATAGTACTGACGCTACAACTGGTAATATACCTAGACTACCAAGACGGTGTTTTAGTTTCACTCACGGTAGCATAGACCAATATACATTGATATGGTTGGATGAACGTTCATCAGACAATTCGTTTGAAACGTTGCGCACAAAAAGCCTACTCCGTCAGTTAAACAATGATAACTGTCTCTTTTACGATGACATAAATATATTCTTAAACTATATCAAAAGCAAAAATCTACAATCCAAATTGAACAAAACACTTTTATTAATTACATCAGGCTGTTTTGGTAGACAAATTTTACCGAAACTGTCGCCAGATGTGATTTCAACAGTTATTATCTTCTGTTCAAATTATAACAAGTATGCTGAATTAAGAAAACGCTATTTAAATGTTAGCGATATTTGCACAGAGCACGAAACATTGAAAAGCTGTATTCAGCGTGAATTACCATCGTTAAGGTTAAACTTATGTCAAACATTAAAAACAGTTTAACCATTACAACAGAATAGTTATAATACATACTTTATGTATATATTATTTGTCGAATTACTAAAACAATTACCTCAAACAGAATACGCTAAACATGTAATGCTAGATAAATGTAGAGATTATTATCGCCGTAATCAAAGTGAATTAAAAAAAATTGAACAGTTTCGTAAGAAGTACAAATCTGATCAAGCAATTAATTGGTATACATGCGACTCGTTTGTCTATCGTCTTGTAAATCAAGCATTTCGTACCGAAGATATTACATTATGGTTTCTAATCCGTTTTTATATTGTCGATGGTTTGTCTATCGTCGAACAAACTCATTATGATGGTGTGATGACCGTTTACCGTGGACAATCACAGTTCCCATTGAAAGAATTTGAATATATGCAGCACAATATTAACAGTTTATTTGCAACAAATGCATTTTGGTCTACATCTAAGTCTCTAGGCGTTGCATTGCAGTATGTGAAAGATGCTACGGACACAGATGACTATAAGGTTGTGCTCTTTGAAATTACCGTAGATCAAACTCGGTTTAAAAACTTAGTTTTTGTTGATATCGACGAATGGCGTAAACGAGAAAGTGAAAATGAAATTTTATTTACCATTGGATCAGTGTTTAAATTGAAAAGTATTGAACGAGATGATCAACTGAACCTATGGAAAATTTGTATGTCAGCCACCGATGAAAGTATGGAACAATTGAAAGTTCAAATTAAATTAATGAAATTAAAATATCAATATGAAAATAATACTAATCTATTATTTGGAAGATTTTTATTAGATTTTGGACATTACTCAAAAGCTGAATCTTATTTTCAATTAATGTTACAACTAGACAATGAAGTTACATCCTCAGTTTATGATTATCTTGGAAACTTGTATATGTCTACAACAAATTGGTATGAAGCATATAAAAACTTTAGTTTATCGTTGAAGATGAAGAGTACCAACAGTTTTTCCTTCTATTTTCGACAGGATTTTGGAATAACGTATATTGGATTAGGCAATTACTATAAAGCCATTGAAGATCTCGGTTTAGCTTATAAATATTACAGAGAAGCATTACGTTGCTGGAACAGTGAAAATGATGACGATCAAATTAATATAGCTGTAACAAAACTAAATTTAGCATCAGTTTATTTAACTGACTACAAAGCTGCCATTGACTTATGTTTAGAAGCACGTGAAGTATTAGAAAAGCACAAGTATGAGCCACGTCCATATGCAGAAATCATTTATTGTCATTATTTAGTAGGCAATATTCATTGTAGACAATTAGATTATTACACAGCCGAAGATTTTTACGAGGCAGCATTTAAAATGAGTGAGAAATTTCTACCAATTGGAAGTTATCATCGTATACGTTGTATCAATGCTCTGTCTGAGTTATATCAAAAGAAAGATGAGAATAATATGCGTTCACTTCGATTTTGTAATGGACAGTTAGAATTACATGAGAACTATTTGCCAGAAAGTCATTTAAGTATTGCACATTTATTAATGATTATTGGCGATTTACTTACACCTAGTATGCATGAGGATAAATTAAATTTCTATTAAAGAGCATTATCAATTCTGCTGGATAATCAACATATTGAATATGTGACAATAGCAAATTGTTTTCTTGCAATTGGTCACTATTATAATAGCAGAGAAATTTATGATAAAACAGTCAAACACTACAAGCAAGCATATGAAATTCAAAAGAAAATTTATCCAAAAGAGCACAAAAATTTAAAAGAAACAAGTCGATTAATTGCTATAGCTGATGAAAAGGATACCTAATAGGATTTTTACCTAATAGGACTGTTGTTGGTTCCTTTTAATGGACATGAATAACTGTTTATAAGCACAATTACTTATCCTCCAGTAACATTGCCGTCTATGTCTTCAACAGTCACAATGATTGCTAAGAAAAGAAAGAAGTCTTCTTAAGCGTTCATTTCTATTTTGTTGTTTTCTTTAGCTAATACGTACGGTAGTTGGTCTGACAGTTCTCAGTGGTATTGGGTGTTGTTGGAGCAATTAGTGCTGAACGTTGTTATGGACGAATGATAAACAGTACGGCGTGGAATATCAGTTGCAAATGGAACACACCCACAAGAATTGCTACATTGGAGTATACCAATCGAACTAATTTCTCGATATGCGCAATGTTTTTATAACTGTATTTTTTATGAAGGATGTCATGAGCTAGAAAGAGCAGAGAGGCCTTTTGTTGGTTTAAAGAAATAAGAAACGGTGGTCGATTGTAAAGATTTATGTAAGACAATGATGGTTAGTCCGCCACGGGATTTTTGTGTGTCACTTACCCAAGGGGGAAAAAGCATACTTCTGTACTTCTCGATACTTCTCTGTACTTCTTGATACTTCTTCGTACTTTTTTGTACTTCTGTTTGGGCTTAGCGTTAGTTAATTAATTAGAAATTACAAGAACGTATGTTTTTCTAAAAACGGTCACTTGGGATAATTATAATCTGCTCGTGTAATTTGCAGCGGAAAAGTCAGAGCTTTAACGCCACCTGCTTACAGAGACTGATTTTCCACTAATCACGAATAGAAAAGTTGTAGATGAGCGTGTTCTCTATTATATGAAGTGAACACGGCAATTTCTAGCCGTTTGATGAGCTTGGCCGAATTTTGGTACACTTTTATACCTGATTTTTGACAAGTCGATAAAGGTGGTACGTATAATAATTGTGTAGTTAGAAAAGTGGTCACCTTTCTATATTTTTCAGATACGCTTCTACAACAAAACTATTGTGCAATATAAAATGTTCTATGATCGAGAAATAATAGAGGAAGAGAGGAATGATAGAGGAACAGTCGAGAAGTAGAAGAATAGTGACCGACCGACTGAAATTTACTTTCAAACGTTCCCTAAGATGTACATTCGAAATTATTATGTTTATGCTTCTAAAAGGAACGGGTGGCGCAGAATAAATTAGACTGTCAGTGTTTTTGAAATTCCTTCTCTTCCTCAAAGTCGATCAAGATCATTCTTATATCAGAAGATTCGCCTTTCAATTCTCTACGAAATGGTATATAACTGGTCAGGCTAGGTCCTAAGAAGGTGCGTTCAATGAACATAAGGTTGTGTACTCCAAAAAAGCAGAAAATGTAAATGTCAAGAAACTTATTTCTCTAGTAATAAATCTAGCTATGGAATTGTATCAAAGCCGAATACGCAGTTTTGTAGCCCTCAGATTTCTGGTCTGTTAGCTCACAAAGACCAAGTTTGCGTGTCGTTCTGTTGTTTTGAATAATTGTTTTAGTAAAAGCGCTATCACTGTTTTCTTTAGCTTTTCTCGAATCACGTATTAAGATCATTC